TGTAACTCTAATAGGTTAATTATAATAATAATAACAAGTCTTTACTACAATATTATAAAATGTTAATACTGACTTTTTCTAAATAAACAGCCCTACAAGGGAAAATATTAGAAATGCAGAGTGTTACTATTAAATTCTTTAGAATTTCTTTCTCAACTCGACGTTTCGATCTATCTCAGCTTCTCCGGTGCGATCGTACATAATAAATATCCAATTTTTTTTCTGGTATTTGTATTGGTCTAACGTTTTTCACAATTGTTTTTTCGCATGGCGTTGATTTTAAGTTTCTAAATGTAGATACCTAAAAAAGATATTGCTATTAAGCAAAATTAATCACACCGTAATTTATTTCACGATTCTAACTTTAATTTTATACCATATTTTAATTAACATGGACCTTGTGTTAGTTTTTGTTAAATTATTAAACGATTTAAAAACCAGTTCCAATAAAAAAATAATTACTTAATTTAATNGGCTTCCTTAAAAGAATTGTACTTTTGATTGTAGTGAACAGCATGAGCTTCCATAGAATATCTGCGTGAAGATAAACATACTTTTATTTATTATTGTTTCACCGAATATCTTTCGCGAAAGTATTATGAACCGATTTCTTTTTGATGGACACTTACGCTCGTCCTTCGAAGATATGTTCACAACCGCTGTGGTCATCGTCGCTCCAGTGGAAATGCAGTTGTTCAAAGACGAAGTTATCATTTAACAAAGGTCCTCCTTTTAAGACGGGCAGTTCTCGATCGTAAAAAGTTAATGTTGCTGAAATAAGATTAAAAAAAAAACATTAAAAGAGACCGTAATTTATACCTATAGTTAGTCCTTTTTTCGGTCAATAAGTTTTGGTTCTACTTTGGTATGCGGTCTACTTATGTCGTGTGATCTACTTGAGATTTAATATGCACTTATGTAGTCGATCAGGTTGGGTTTGGTTAGGATTACGATACGAAAAGAAAATACGAATGAAGTGAGATATTAAATATTGTTTTTCGTTCGTGTTTAATGTTCGAGTTAGTTCTTTAGTTTTTAGGCCAAGTCATACATGCGCGCATTTGTACAGTCCATTTATTGAAAACCTGTTATCTGTATATAATTAATGCCACTACTCGTATGTATGCCTACCTGTAAAACCGTTATTGAACAAGTTGCCTGATCCAGCGACATCCCAATGTCCATGGAACTCAAGAGGTTCAAAGTGGTCGCACTCATTTGATTCTTCATGTTTGAGTTCGATCGGAGATTGCACCTTGTGCAAACGCCACTTTTCAACGATTATATTAGCATCTACGTTGATTTTTTCTGAAAAAAGAAACCTGAATGTTACCATTATAGTTTTCTGCTTGAGATTATTCAAAACGACGGACAATTTGAAGCGAATTGAATAACATTCCATTTGAATTTCTGATAATTGGATAATATTGAAAACTCATTCGATTTAATGTAGGTTATCAATCATCAATAAATTAAAAATTATGGGTAGGAGATTAAAAATTTTTTGTAACATTAAATGAATAAGTAATCACATGTGACGATGATTTAAATTATCGGGCAATTTCTTTTTGACTGCGACTGTATTAAGAACTGCTTTCATTAAACGGTTTATTGTCCTTTATTGAGTGTAATTTTAACATAACTTGTTTCACGTGATGGAGATTCTTCCTAAATAGAATTAAATATACGAAATGAGTCAACACAATTGGAAATGCGACGCAAATTTAACAGGATCGGATCTTCTTTTTCTTTATTTACTATTATCTAAGCTTGTTAAAAAAACATTTTTTTATTATTGATTGAGTGACTCATAGTAAATTCAAATAAAAAACAAAGAAAAAAGAGTGAAGTGATTATATAACTAGTTTTTTTTTGTTCTGTATTTTTTACCACAAATATGATGCCTGCCAATAAATACTGATCTAAAATAACCGCATAAAAAATATAATAGGCAACAATAGGTAATAACAAATTTGCATAGGTTAGCTACGCAGTTGAATAACAAATTCAGTAAGACGTTACGTTAAAATTCCTGCACTTAATGCATTTGAATTGTTAAATCACGTGGTAGTTGTAAGAAAAATCTATTGTAATAACACCAGTCGTTGTCTCATTGTGAAATGAAGAAAGAAATTTGAAAACATGTACATAATAAAACATGCATAGATACATGACGCAATAGATAGGTAAAGTTATACGCCATGTAGATACATATACAACTTTTTGTATTGTAATTTTACAGTCACTGACCTGAAAATAATTGTAGCACATTTAGATAATATATAAACAAACCGGACAAGGTTGACAATTTGTCACTGACGAATGGTATTGGTAGGTATATCAGTCTGTTAAAAATCTTACAAAATTTTCCTACATTAATAACAACTGAAAACTAAAATTTTAAAAGGCGATAATCAAATTCAAAAAGGAATACAAATAAATGAATACAAGTCTACCTAAAATTTTGATTAAAATACATAATATTTAACAATATTTATAGATGATGTGATCAAATAATATAATTTATTATAATATATTAAAT